TCACCGTGGCATGGGCTACGTCCATCTACGAGCGCTCCTGTATATGACTTATCAGCTTTCATTCGACTTATGAGTGCCACGCGGATCTTCCATTACAAAGCCTGACAACAAGTGAGCGATGCGATGCCTGAAGTGCTTCAAATCGGCGTTGTGGTAGTTGCCGATGTTATATGTGATGCCCCTATGGAGGAAATATCGTTGAAGGTGTGCTTCCGGACCCTCCGAGCCAGTAGTTCACTACGCTGGTATGAGCAAGAACTGTAATAACGGGTGATTATTCTCCATTTCTACGTGGTCATTTCATTCAGATTTGAGAAAATTTCAGCAGCTGTATTGGTTCGGTTCACCGAGAATGGCGGGGTCTTTTCGGACCCCCGACCAGACACGAGATTCCTCCACATCGCGCCGGCCATATATCATCTAGCACTGGCCTCTCATGTGGACCCTGAGCTGGCTGAAGCCATCATCGAGCAGTTAAAAGGTGCGTCATGGGACCTCTGAAATATACACATGTGTAGGTGATATTTGTGAGAAAAATTAAGAAATTTTTTATCGATTTCTGTAAACTTCTAGCCGAATTTGTATGTGAATCAGTGAGGACTTAGCTTTGGTAAGCGAACATTTATTCCGACACCTTTGATAAGATACGGATCGAGTTGCCGAACGACTTCGAGTATGGAGTTCCGTGATGGGCGATGACAGCCCGTCAGCTATGCGAAGACTAGTTGGGGCCTCCGGTCAGATGCTGTGGGCGGCCTCTGCTATGAAATGCATCAGTGAGGACGGCTTGTTGCCCGCAACTGTAGGGCTTGGTGGTCCATCGTTATGATTGGGATCGTGCCTTTGTTCAGAGGGTGAAGCCAGTATTCGATATGCTTATGGATCTTAGTGATTCGGATGGGAAGGCCAGTGATAGGCTGGGCTCGATAGCAGCTATAAATGATATGTAGACCCGGGATGCCTTGTCGGAATTAAGTGAATCGGCAGGTATAAATTCACGACGGGTTTCAATTTCGTCCTGAGAGGGTCGGAGTTGAGGAGAGAAGAAGTGTTGAGGGGTCGAGTGGCGAATTGGTTGAATGGGAAGGTTGGCGGTAGTTTTATAGACAGGTAAGGCATGGATCCAGGTTCGATCCCTGCACCTGTCATTCTTTAGTTTTGTGGATGAAGAGCTTACTGGAGGCAACACCGTTGATGTCGTCATTGGTGACCCTCAGCATAAGCGCGGGGTTATTGTGGCTCCTCGTAATGCATGCTATCGTAGTCATGTAGATGGCCGTAGAGATCGCGCCCCTATGTAATGAATGACCAAAAATTACAGTCGTGCTGGTTGCATAAACTTTCCAGGGCAACTCGATTGGCTGTTGCTGCCCTTGAACGTCTTGGGTGGAAGGTTGGGGTTGTTTCTGAGGCTCTGCTGGAGCCAGTGAGTGAGGAGGAAGTTATCGCAGAGGTAGTGCTGAGGTGTACCTAGAGAATTGTCCAGAGACCTATAGTGCTCTCGGGGGATTCATTTTGAATTTTTCGCGATGCTAGGAACGCATTCCTCAATTGGTTTCCAATGTAAATGTCACAACATTTTCACCATTGTTATCAAACTGTGGGAGGTTATCTCTCCATGATGAATGGACACATTGATGCAGCTA